GGGGGGGGGGGCAATTCCCACTGCCCTGTGCTTTGTGGGGAGCTCTGCCACAAGCCCCTGATGGCTGGGGCAGCCATGGTGGGCAGGGGGGGAGTGGAGAGCTGGCAGGGATCAGGGGATGCTCAGGGGGGCTGCAGAAGCAGGCAGGAGATGGGGCCTGGCCAGGGTACCCTATGTTCCCCTTTTCCCTCCTCCAGCCTCCCATACCATTCACTCCCTACTTACCGGCATGGAGTCTGAGTCCAGCTCCCTGCAGCAGCGAGTGAGGACTGCCTGAATCTCTGAAGCTCTCTGAATCTTTTCTGAATCAATCTGGAGAGCTTCAAATAGATTCAGACCTTTTTATTGGTCTCCCAATTTGATTTGGATTCGGAGATTTGGCCACCAAATCTCCTGTGAATCGAATCAGCACCCAAAGCTTCGCACAGCCCTAATAGGCAGACAAGGTTCTTTGAGTAAAAATCTGATATCTTTTATTAGACCAACTAAATAGTTGGAAAAAATTTTCTTAGCAAGCTTTTGGGTTTTTGAAAATTTTTTCCAACTATTTAGTTGGTTTAATAAAAGATTTCAGATTGACCCAAAGAACCTTGTCTGCCTTACACAAATTATACTTTTTGTGTGATTGGGCCCCTGAAAATGCTGTGACACGTGCATGGCTGCAGAGCACTTTTAAAGTGGCTGATCACAGAAAAATTGAACTGTCCTCAAATGAGAAGTTAGATGAAGGGGTATACGTGGTAGCCATGTTGGTTGGAGATAAAAAAGACATACAAAAAACTAGAACTCTTGGTTCCAAAATTATACCTTTTATTAGACCTTCTGGAAAATAGCAAGAAAACTGTATTTTTGTGCAAGCTTTTGGGATCAAGGTCCCTTCATCAGGCTCTGGGAAAAGTCTAGATGGTACAGGATGGTAATAAGTCCCCATAGGTAGGAAATAAACTTCGTTTTTGCACAGAGGGAGCTGGAGATGGAAGGTTGTCCCTCTGGGTTCATGAGAGTGTCTTTGGGAGGTGTGTTAAGTAGCAATTTGATGTGTTGATCAGGTAGAATTCCTTCCCTGGAAGTGTCAGATGGCAGGCGGGGAGGTAAAAAAAAAACTTCCTTGTTCTTCAATGAAGTTTAAAATCCAAGAATGATCCCAAAAGCTTGCATAAAAGGACAATTTTCTTGCCATTTTCCAGTTGGTCTAATAAAAGGTACTATTTTGGAACCAAGAGTTCTAGCTTTTTGTATGTTAGTTGAAGGCATTCTGCTTTACAGCACCTTGGGGAATTTGTGTTGACTAGAGTTAATTTTTCACATGTTGGGTGGGCTGATGCAGGCCAGCCCTGCCCCCTGAGATGTCCATGGAGAGGGGGGATGGGGAAGAGGACTGGAGGGAGCTGGGCTAGACCCATGAGGCACAGAGGCTCTGTTCAACCCCCTTCCCACCTCCAGCTTAGGCCAGGCAAGCCAGCATCTCAGTGCTGCTTGCTTCCCCCTCTCTGCTTTGCCTGACTTGAGCTGGAGAGTAGGGGTGGGAAGAGGGTGGAACAGCACCCCCTCACCTTGCAGGCCCAGCCTGAGCTATTTGAGGTGGGGACTGTGAGGCTGGGAGGACTCTCTTCCGCCTCCCCTGCTCCAGCTCAGGCTGGGCAGTAAACCCCAGCTGGCAGCTTGGAACTGCTCCATCCCTCCACCTCCTCCTCCCCTTGCTGACAGCCCTGGAGCTGGGATGGAGCAGTGCAGACAGGCTTGACCCCCCCCCACCTGACCCAACAAGCAAATGTCTGTTGGCAGGGGGGAAGGGGGGCACGGTGGTATTCTAACTCATAGCGCTTTATGTAAAGTGCCATGAATTAGAGTGGGGGGTCTGAATATCTGTTTATGACCATAGTGGCACAGCACATTTCTGGTATTTCTGACTAAAAGAGATTGGGCTTATATCTCCCCCTGCTGCTTCTGAGAAGATATTCTGTCTCAAAGCCAGTCATCAAATGTTTATGTCAATCAGGAGCAAGTCGAGCTCAGAGATGGCTATGAGACTGAATTGTGACTCACTACATTTATTATTAGTAACTCTTCCATGCAGTGATGAAACACAGTAGGTGTTGGCATGAGAAGGATAATAGAAATATCTGTACCATAGTTATATCTTGGCTGCCATGCCTGTTTGAGTGCTCACAAGCAGTACTCTACAGTAACTGTACTTTTCCACAGGAAAGGTGTAACATGGACAGCAGCTGCAGTACATCAAGCTTCTCCCACAGTACTTCAGCATGCTTCAGTATCATTCTTGACAGAGCAATGGCTTATCCCTAGTGGCTCCCTTCAAGGTTGGTTGTTAGTAGAAAAATTGTCAGCTCTGTCCTGTGGACTAAATCTACTTCACCCAAAGAAGTAGTTAGGTCTCTGTGGCTGATTTAATTTTCTTCCAAAGCTGCCAACAATGCTGCATTACAGCAGTGGATTTTGTTTAGTGGATGCCTGTCCACAATCCTTTTGGCTGAGCAGACCCCCTGTCCCACAGCTATTTCCTCTGTTGGAAGACAACAGCTCTCACAACATAATGATTTGGAGCCTTTGACCTGAGTTGGATTCAAGCCAAAATCTATGAGATGAGAAGTTGGACAGTCTATCATCATTATAATGAGCTGAGACCCCATTGTGACACTTTTCTGAGCAGGCAGGAGCAATGCAACACAAGTTTC